GCTTTAGTGGCCCTGACTGTGCACTACATGCATGTCTGATCCAGTTCTTCCCTATATAGAGGAATCCTTGAGATACCCCCCACCAAGGCCCCTTTATTTGAAGCTAGGAAACCAAGATCAATGCCTGGGAATGTGGGCGAGTGTAATGAGACAAACTTCTGCCAAGGGCTGGGAAAGCCCCAGCTTATTTTTCTCAGCAGTGAGAAGGTTCTCGAGAGCTTGCAGGGGAGTGCAAGATGGCATTCATTATAGCGTCAACATTCATGAATGCTGATTTACATAAAACCACTGACAAACCCAGTAGCCCTGGACTACAAGCAACCTGAGGGCAGGGCCAGGTCCTTCTTCTTAGTCTCTCTAGGTCTCCACACAACTCCTGGTATACAGGAGGAGCTCAACGTCAACTTGCTGGTCATGAAATAAATCGAATTCAACTGAATAATTGGATGCCCAGAGATAACTGGGCAGTAATAGTATCATGTTCTTTGTGGTTCTCTCTCTTGTCCACAGATGAAGCAACAGAAGGAGGTATTTTCTTATTTAGCTCTTACACAGCGTCCTTAGCCGAGGAATAGAGGAAAGAACCCTGGAACAGGAGTCAGGAGTCCTGAGTTCTTGTCCTGATTTGCCAGTTATTAACTTATGCCCCATGATAATTACTCCTCCCTCCTATGGCCCAGTCCTTCACTGATGAAATGTGTGGGTTACACTAAAGATCTTCCAAGATCTCCTCTGAATCTACCATTTTGTGATTCTGGGTCCAGGGTCTTATTATGACCCAAAACCTAGAAAGAAAGGAAAGATTCTGCCCAAAAGACCCCTGACTTTTAGGATGTCCTCTCTGGGCATCTGCCTTTTATTTTATTGGCACTTTGATTTTGCCTCATTCATCCTGCTCTACTTGACTTTTCTGTCTACTTCTGATTGTTCCACCAGCCATCTCTACACTTTATGCATCTCTTATAAAGTTTTATGGGATTCAAAGTCCATAGAGAGCTCACCTTTGCCTTTCCTTCATATCCTCCTTCGTGCTTCTCTCTATTCGTGACCTCCTTTCTCTCCCTGCATCCCTTTTCCCCTTTTCAAGTTGCTCTTTTGCTCTTCCTGCTGAAATCCTAACATGCTGGACTATAGCCCAGATGAACAGTGATTTTATTTTGATCCTATATTCATAGAGCAGCAAAAAATAGCATATATTTTTCCAGGTCCCAGCTCTTCCCTACTCCCTTAGAGTCATCTCTTTATCCAGATTTATGCTGCCTTTTCTGATTAAATCTTCCAATATCTATTTGATGTCATGCCACTCTCTAACCGCCCTGCATTTCTCATCTTCTTGCCTGTGCTCCTATTTGAGATCTCCACCAGGAGAGGGGGGCCTTTAGCCTTTTTAGAAAAGGAAGAGCAGAACCGGCATTTGTTAAGCTAGTACTCCTCTTTTGGTCTCCTGTGTGTGTGGAATAGTGACAGCTCTTTAGCTAGCCAGGGCTTGCTGTAGGTAACATAGTGTAAAACAAAAACAACAGCTGATTTCCGTTTCTTTGGGAATTCTTCCCTGTTCCAACCCTGCTCCAGTGTATAGAGCCAGGGGCTGCCTGAAGACTCTTGTCTGCTGTTTCCTCACCTGCCTTCCAACCCTCTGGAGTCTGCACAGCGAGCCCTTCCCCACCCCCCAGGCAGTCCCAGGAATATTAGAGGGAATAGGATTGTTTCCTTTTGCTTGGGGGGTGTGTGTGTGTCTGTGAGCTTGAAAGGCATTGTCCTATAGATATTTTTATAACCTGAAGCAATTACAGCTGTCAGCACAGAGACAAGCTGTGACAAGTTGATTTATGTGTACAGTATATGTGTATGTAAGAAGGAAGGGAGGAAGGAGAGGGAGATGGGGGGAAGAGGGTGGAGGTGGGCGCTCATTAGGAATCCGCTTTCAAGGAGGCAGAAAGGAAGTTGTTTCTATAAAGAACACAAATAATGAAATTGCTCTGACTGTCATCCCTTTTTCATTAACTCGGATATGTTGGGAAAAATAAAATAAATCCAGCAGTTTTTATGAAGCAAGAGACAGGATATAAGATAAGCCACTAAGTGTTGGTTATATTTAGGGATTAAGGGATGGGAAGGGAGTTGACATAAGATTTTGATCTTCATTTTTTCAAACCACTTCAATAGCAGGTTTGAATAAAGTGGAGTCTGTCTTGTAAATTATGGGGGTATCTCTGACCTTTCACCACTTTCTAAACTTCTATTTTTAAATAAAGTTTGGATCTCTGGGCCCACAAAACAGGTATGAGGTTGCAAGTGGCTTTTCTTTCTCCACCCTGAGAGTCACCTGAGCTTCGCTAGGTTTTATACAGGCGACTGCTGGGATGCTACAACGTAGCACTGTCCTTTCACAGCCAGAGACAAACATGGTTTTACTGTCTTAGATCAACTGCACACAGATCAGTATAAACCGAACATCTTAAAGAGCCTGTAAGAAGAATTATTTTTCTGCCCAGCCATAATAATGAAGCAATGGCAGGAAAAATGTATTAATAAAGCATCTTCCATCGTAAATGGATTTCTAAGTATTTTCCTGTAGAGTTAATCATGTATGTAGGCCCCTCGGGAAGGCCTGTTGATGTCATTATCCACATTCCTAGATGCAAAAACTAATGCTCATTTGTACCTACCTGGAAATTAGATGCAAGAGCCAGGATTAGAATTTATCATAAAGGGAATCATTGCTGCCATTCTAAGGCCTGTAGAGAAATGACTCCAAAGCCCAGAATGAGTCTTTCTCCCTTCCCTATGACTAACTAGCATTCGTTCCCACTTTGAGTGGTATGGACGTGTTGGGGGTAGGAGAGGATGGAGGGTGGTTGAAATGAATGATTATTATAGGTGACTCCCTGGCTTCTGGAAAAAAAACTTAAATTCAGCAGACCGAAAGTTAGAAAACATCATCTCATGCCTTATGTCTGCTATCATACTTTATTTAGTGAAATCATTCAGTTTCCAATTTCCACAATTTCCCATTGGAAAATGGAGATAAAATAGAATCTTGCAAAAACGGACTGGTGCGAAAATAGGTTAATTCTTCTCCTTTGTTTTCAAAATATAAACAAAACTCTTCTGCTCCCCATAGATGTGATTGTTTATTACTGACAGTAAAGTTACTTGTTGCAGCCGTACGCTGACAATTGATATTTTTGGTCTTGTATGTCAAATGATCCCCAGTGGCCAAAAATAGCAGATGAGTTTCCCTGAGTATTTAATATCAAGAAAAGTCACCAGAGGAGATGAGGGAACAGTTGGTCTAATGATGAGTTAATGCAAAGTATTTTGAGATCATCAGTGTAAAGTTGCTCCACCTTCCGTGCTGAGCACTTTCTAGTCCACTACCAAAACGGAAAGGCAAGCCTTCTCAATCTTTCTTGGTTACCTTGGAGTTGGGCTTCTACATCTCCAAAGCCTACCTCCATCCTACCTCTCTAAAGCCGTTAGTGTGAGCAAGATATGATGGGTGAAATGTCTGTGTCATCTTTAACATGTTATCTGCATGGAAGTGACCGGTATTACTCAAAAGTTGCAAGGATTTTTATGGCAGCAGGTCCCTTACAGTTATAGTGATTCAGTTTTAATAGTTCTGTTACTTTGGTGCTGGACGGCTTTGTGGAAGAACATTTTTCCATTATTTAACAGTTGTTTAAAAAACACCTTCCTGGTTGGATATGAAAGTCTAGGGGGAAAAAAATAAAGCCACCGTTACCTCCCGTCCATCCCCAGGGAGGATCCGAGTCAGTGCTGGGACCCCAGCTCTGGGGATCGTTGAGAGGAGTGCGTATTAGTGTCACCACCACTGTGCCTGCTGGGCTGCTGTGCTTCCCCCTTGGCACAGGGACTAGGCCCAGGAAGGGAAACATATACTACATTGCGTCAGAGCACATCAGAGCCTAACCTAGGGGAGAAATAATAAGGTAAGCACAGAGGGACCAGCAGCAGCCAGAGAGAAGTGACAGGAGCTGAGGCAAAGGCAGTCTTTCCCTGGGTTTCAAGAATTCAGAAAACACCTCTTAAAGATGAAATCAGCTATACAAAACGGGGTAGCCCAGGAAGCTGGCTAAATAAAGCACGTGGCTCACACTCATCCACCCGAGTGAGCACTTCTGCAGGGCTAGCATCTTTCAGTGTCGACAAAACAAGAATAAAGAATGTAAGTCAGTGTCGGAACTTGACCAACATTTTGATGCGATTTTGCCAGTTTCCTACACTTAAGAGGCTTCTGTGATTTTGCATTTGTGTTCTGTGTGGAAGAGCTCTAGAACAGTGGTGTTGAGTCTCTGGGTTTTAAGGAGGTTTTGTGGGGGGCTGGTGAGGTGGGTGTTGTACTACTGAATAAAAAATGAGATTGTTCTCAAACGTCCTCCCAGCACTCTAAAAATACTAATGGAATTAGTCTGATCATTTTGAAGGTGCATGTACGCATGCTGCAGGGGCTTCCTCTCACAGATAATTAGTTTGCGACCCTTATAAAGATGTCTCATGTCTAGCACTTATCAAGACTGCATGGTTAACTTTGTGGTCGCCTTCATCCGCAAGTGCCCGCTCCTCAAGAGGGGCAATGGTTAAGCTCCTGGCCTGGGCTGGGCTGGTGCAGTGCCCGGGCCCGGCGCGGCGGGGGTTAAGGTGGGCGCCCGAGCCCCGCGCCCGCCCGCCGGGATGAGCGCGCAGTCCGCGCCGCCCGCCCGCCCGCTCGCTCCGAGGCGGCTCCGGGAGAAAGTGGCGGTCAGGGAAGGAGCTGCTGCCATGACAACCCCGGCGGTCGAGGCCCGCGCGCGTCGGGGCTGCTCCCGGGAGGAAGGCGGCGCGGAGGCCGGGGGCGGCCGCTGAGCGTGGCGTCCGCGCGGCTCCGGTGCCGGCTGAGCCTCGCCTTCCCCAGCAAGCGAGCGAGGGGCCGCCGCGGTCCGCTCCCGCCTGGCCGCGGCCGCAGCCCCTGCCCCGCAGAGACCGGCCGGATCGCGGCGGCTGCAACGCGCTTTTGCGCTGCGAGGAAGTTGACCGAGGCGGCTGCGGCAGGATCCCCGGGGCCGGATTGCACGAAGCCGGCGTGGCCATCTCCTCGTCGCGCAACCTTGCCGCCTCCTGCGTGCTCTACTTTCCGCCTGCTATTGTTACAGACTGTTTTCCGGTGGCGAGCCTTCCTCCGAAACTTGCGACGAAAGTGTTAGATTGCTCCTTTTGGAACTGAGGAATTGCAGACCACCTCTGGGTAGCTGGATGGAACCCACCCCCGTCCCTTTCCGGTACCAAAGTGCTTACTCCTCTCCAAAGTGCCATGTCTGAACTGTTAATGGGAAGAAGCGGCTCCTGAAACGTGCCCACACCTTTGCACCTGCTTGCGCTTCCCCTTTCTCGGCCACCGTCCCCGCCGAAGCGGCGACGAGACAGCCCCCTTTGGATGTCCTCCGTGGAAACTGGTTCTCCGAGGCTGGCAAGCTGAGGCTGGATTTGGGGGAGGAATATCGCACTTGGAGGAGTCTGCGCGCTTTTCTCCTCCCCGCGCCTCGCGGTCGCCGCTAGTTCACCGCTCAGTCCCCGTGCTCGCTCCCCCACCCCACCCACTTCCTGTGCTCGCCCGGGGGGCGTGTGCCGTGCGGCTGCCGGAGTTCGGGGAAGTTGTGGCTGTCGAGGATGGGGGTCTGTGGGTACCTGTTCCTGCCCTGGAAGTGCCTCGTGGTCGTGTCTCTCAGGCTGCTGTTCCTTGTACCCACAGGAGTGCCCGTGCGCAGCGGAGATGCCACCTTCCCCAAAGCTATGGACAACGTGACGGTCCGGCAGGGGGAGAGCGCCACCCTCAGGTAGGGAGTTGCCATTCTTCTATGATTTGAGGATGATTTGTGTGGGGTCGGGGTAAGGGGCTGGGGTGCCGTTGTGTGTACTGGAGCGGGCAGGGGCTGGCGGAGAGGTCGCTGGTTCCCTGGGCGGCACAATTTATGGGGGAGCTGGGTGCTCCGCCTGCGAATGTGGTACTCACAGGGGAACACCCAGAGGTTCTGGAGGTGAGCTGTTTCCCCAAAACGGGCCTTCTGGCACTTGGGAAGGGTGAGGAGTGGCTGGGCCAGGGTGTCGCTGAGATTGAGGGATTTGGCCCTGGCACTGTCTGTGCCTCAGCCCGGTGGCCGTGGTGACTGGGGCCTGGCTGGGGCTCAGTGTGAACGGTCTTATCTGAAGTTAATGAGTCCTGAGGGAGGGGTCTGGCTGGGTGTGAATGCCCTCACTCGCCCATGCGGCGGGGAGTTGCCAACCCTGGCTCCTGGACTCTGTGAGAGCTGCTGTTTTGTGCTGGGCCTGACTGTGCCCAGGCTTTCCTGGGCTGCCTTCGTGGCATGAGCTGGTGGGCACAGGGAGATGCTTTCTCCTGTCTGAATGTGGCTTTCTGAGGCCGAAGTCATGGAGTCTGGTTTGTCCGTGGAAGATGTCATTTGAACTCTGCTCTGTTTGTGCTGTCCACCGAAACAGAAGGTGCAAAACTCGTTTGCTGAACAGAAACTAGATTTCACTGTTGGGTCGGGTCCTAATAGGCTTCTGGGGTTGAGGCTTACAGGGACTGGGGGAGGAGGAGAAGAATCATGGCTATGCTTTGTGTCAGGTGGGACGATTCTATCTCCCTGATTACCTTGCCTGCAGAGACTCTATTTCCACTGTTGATGAACCACACCGCTCACATGAGGGCACCGCACCTAATGATTGCAATGGGAAATTGTGCTCTCTGGGATTTCTAAGAGAGTAAGCATGAGGTAGAAGTTAAGAAGGTTCATGGGAACGATTTCCCTGTGTCTCTTTGCTTTAATATGCTCTCCTAAGTAAAGTTTTCCAAACTGGGCAACTGCACTAACCACAAGCCAACATGGCAGTGTTCTTGTCCTCTGCATGTGAAGATTCTTGGAAAGATAACCCTGGCGCTGGTGTCCACTGTTTCATCCTTGATGACTGTTCTTCTAAGATGGGATTGTTGGTGGATTGTCTACTTAAGGCAATATCTACAGGATAGAAAATGTTGAGGAGGGGTACTGGCAATACCGAGATGAATTATCAGCACATTGCCAAGGAATCGTGTAATTTAAGGACCCATGCAAGGCTGCAAGTATCCCATGATCCTTTGTCTTTGGAGAGTGAACCCTCCTGGCTTCAGTGAACTCCTAGCTGCTCATTGGTTCATGAAACCCAGCTCTTCCATTGAGCTCTTTAGGGACTATTTTGGACAAAGGTGAAACATCTGGCTTCCCTGAGTCCAGAATAATTGTGTATCTGTTTTATAAAGGGATTTCATAGGATTTACAAATATGCAGTGATTTCAGACTACTTAAAAAAAAATGAACCTGTCAAGCAATATAATCAAGGAAATTTCATCGTCTCTGGATGTCCCTTGTGTCTCTAACACTTGGCTGCAAGGAGGAGTCCCCCAGGGACAAAACAGAGATGTTCTCATATGGGGAACATTTTAGATACAAATGGGATGATTTTTTTTTTTTTTTTTTCAAGGAGGAGGTGGAAGGTAGTCAGCTCTGTAGTGATTTGAAGATAAAACCACAGCAAATGGGCCCTGATAGAGACTCTCACAGTGGCCGGGATCTGGTCTGCAGAAGGTAGTCTTCAAGGCTCCTGAGAATTGGTACTGTCCGAAGGGTGGCTGCATTCAGCACGTCTTCAGCCACAGGATAGGCCTAGGAGCAGCTTCTCTTTAAAATCGCATTATCATGTATGGGTTGGTTCTTTTTCCTTGTCTTTCCTTCCATGTTTCTTTTTATCACTCTGGGGGTCCCTCTTTGTCTCTTTCAGTAATAATGTTTGTTTGCATTTTCCCATATACTCTCAGTGCAGTGTCTTGTTTGGGTGCAAAGGGAATATGGTGGGGCTTCCTTTTTAAACCCTTGAATTGGGTCCGGCCCAGCCAAGTTCCTCTTGGATCATCTCCTGCCATTATGTGCCATCCTCAGGGGCTGAGTGTTTTCCTGACGTGCAAGAGGAAGATGCTCACAGTGAATAGAGGTCTACAGGACAGGGGTTAGTGAGGTAGGATCTCATTGACACCAGCTAGTGGCCACAGGCCTGATTTAGGATATGAATTAGGCACCAGGTGTAACAGGTAGCCTATATGGAGGACGTTCATTCCTTTCAAAATCACCCTTATTCTTCCCAGACTCTAATGCACTAGAATAAGGAAGGGCTGCCTTGTTGGGGATGTATTATCTAGAGTGGAAGCCCTTGAACTCTCAAACAGGCTCTGCCTTTTCTAATTATATTCACAGAGAGGCAAGTAGGAATTTCAGAATTTATTTTGTGTGCATAAAAATTGCTAAATTTGCATGTAGCCTGACTCTAGATTGCGACAATCTAATGGTTCAGGGTTCTGGGCTATTTTATTTTTGCTTTTTATTGTGTGTTTGAGGAGCAGGAGTCTCTTCTTCTTTCCTTTCTTCCTTCCATCTTTCTTTCTTCCTTTTTTCCTTGTTTGTTCTTACTTTTTTTTTCCTTTTTTGGCTTGATCATATGGCCAAGCTGCAAGGAACCACAACCAGGGGAGGTCTGAGCACCTCTGCTCTGCCCTGGAGGTCCACCCTGTCCGCCTTGCTGTGGGTGATGATGTTGATGCTTGTAGTTTTCTTCACAACCAGCAGAGGACTTTTTGCTCTAATTTTATTTTATTCTGCTTTGTTCTCACCAGTATCATTTTTTGAGGATCTTTTCCAGTCCCCAAAGTACAAATGCTTCAGCCAGCAGATTCTAGTGTTAGGAAACTTTTAAAAAATGTTTTATTTTATCCAATTCGTTCTAGCAGTCCTTGTGGAGGTATTGGCAACCTTTCACCCAACATGGCATTAACAGCCTGAAAAGAATTACAATTTGAAATCTCCTACTATTTCTGCTTTCCTGCTGATATTCTGTGTGCATATTTTTAAAGAATCAGGTTATGTAAAACAGAATTTGCAATAATAATGCTATTAGCCAGGGTTTATTGAGTGCTCACTACGTATTAGGGAATATCTAAATTTCTTATATTATCTAACCCATCTTTCAACCTCACGACATTAACACGTAACCCTAAGAATAGCCTTATGACGTAAGCACTGTTATTATCCCCATTTTATAGAAGAGAAAATCGAGGCATAGAGAGTTTATATCCTTTGATTTAGGTGGCACAGCTAGGAAGTTTTGAAGCCACGTTATGAGTCACTAGTAATAATAATGTTAACTAGATGAATAGTACTATCAATCATTGTCAGTTACCGTGTTAAACATTTTATGTGCACAGTAACATCTAATCCTCACAACTTTCTGAAATAAACTTAATGATCCATCAGTGTATAGATGAGGAAATTGAGGCCCAGAGAGAGAAACTTACCTAAAAATCACACAAGCAGCAAGTGGCAGAACTGGAATGCTGACTCAGGACTTTGATCCTTGACTTTGTATTAAATACATCAAGATTTCCCCAGACTGTGAAGGACCCTTTGGACTCTGCGCTCCCCTAATTTCTCAGTGGCACTTACTGTCTGCCCCATTCATTTTGGCTTAGACCCTGTTTTGTAATGTCATCTAACTCTTCTGGCTTCTTTTTCCCTGTGGGCTATAGAGCAACTCATGGAAAGCAAGACTCATGCCTCATCATGCCACGAACACTGTGCTTGCAGATGTTTACTGAACAGATGCAATGAATGAAAACAAAACAGAAATCTCCCCCAGCTTATATTCAATTTATCTCCTTCCCACATTTCTCTATCGTTTTATTTTAAAATTCAACTATGACCAACCAAGAAAGATTTGTTGAGTGGTTCTTTCAGGAAGGGCACCGAACTGGGTGTTGGGGTGCAGAGAGGCATGAAACATGGACATGGCTCTCAGAGAACTGGGGTCCAACTCAGAAAGCTGGCTGTGGACAAGGATGTCATGGACAGTGTGGGGCAGAATGTGCCCATAAACACGTGGGCGATGGCAGCTGCACAGCCAGAGCAAAGTGCCCTCCGGCTTTCCCCGGTGGAGGCTCCCGGTGGGCGGGCGAGGCTGGCAAGGCTGCACCCAGCTCAGCCCGTGGAAACGCAGGGGCGGTGGCGAGGAGCCCAGCAGCCTGAGATGCCCAGCAGCGTGGGTGTCATTCACTTAGAGACCTTGGCTAAGCATCAACGCGTCACTCGGCAGTTTCAATGAATGCTTTGCATGTTCCAGAGATTCCTTGAATAAGGCAGCAGCTAGTAACGTGAATTATTTCCTGGGGATCATCTGGTAAGTGAGTATTAGAGGCTGAACGATACTTTCTGACATGTGTCTAGACAGTAGGCTTGGGGACTGAATGATGTTGTTTTTCAGGGATGAGTTAGGAATAAAAGGGCTGAGATACATACAAGATTTAGGTTGAGTTTTGATATGCAACTCCATGGAATAGCACAGAATAATGTGGTTTTGATACTTGAGAGGACCCAGGGAGGCCTCTTGTAGATAAAGGAAGCTGTGGTAGTCTGTTCATGTCATGTAAAGCACTTAGCATTTCATTTTATAAGCAGGTGGATTCTCCGTTAGTCCTTCCAACTACGCCATGGCCTCTGTGGGCAGAACTATGCCTTCCTTGGGTTTGCATGCTAATACCAAGCACAGGCCTTGGCCCATGGTGTTTGCTAATAAAGTCTGAATGACTGTCCTCCCACCCTTCCCTTCACACACTCTGCTGTAGACACCCTTGGCCTTCCTTCCGTTTCGTGAACACAGAACACTTATGCCAGCCACAGAGCCTTTCCTCTCATGGCCCCCACTTTTGGAAATGCCCCTACCATGGGCCTTCCATGGACAGCTGTTTCTCATCATT